ATTCGTTAGCGTTACTATATTAGTAATAATTACATTATATTATGGAGCGTGAATTAACTTATCAAGAATTAGCCCATAGAAAGAAAATAAGGACTTGTTCAAAACGTTTTTTTAACTTATTATCAGCTGTCTTAAGCTCTATATATGTAGTAACGTTGGTTTTTCGCGTTTCTGACTTCAGTATATACCTTACTACCATTGGTGCGTTAGCAAGTATGGTTTTTCTTATATTAAATACGTGGTCATTAACTGATCATTTCCACAAAAAAGGATTAGATGAAAAACATAAAATACAAGGAAAAACTTCAGGAAAATTAACCAAGATTTGTCTAGATATAACATCTAGCGGTTTATTTACACTAGGTGGGATAATACTCGTATTACCTTTTAATCTACTATCATCTTTAGGTCTGCCTATTGTTTCTACTCCTTTTTTCGCTTTGGGTTATTCTATAATGGCTGTAAATTGTACACGGTCAACAATCAATAGCTTACAGGTTGATAAACATTGCAGTGGAGAAATAAGTGTAAATACATGATTGACCTACTCTATTGACTTATATTAGCAATAAGAGTATAAAACTTTACAAAATGAGCTTGAGTTTTATGGCCGGTTTTTTATCCAGAACTCTTTTTCGAAAGGAGTTTGTTTTTTATTACTCCAAGAAACTCATCACTATTCTATTATTTTCATTATATAGTTATAGCTTATTTGCTGATAATTTTATGTCAACAAAATCAAACAAAATTAATATGAGAACTGGACCGGGAGTGCACTATCCCATTAAATGGGTATATATCCGTAAAAATTTCCCCCTCAGAGTTATCGAAGAATTCGAAAATTGGAAAAAAGTCTGTGACATTGGTGAAGATTGTGGATGGATAAAAGGCACTCTATTAAGCAATAAACGTTATGTGGTAATCAAGGAAGACGCTTTTGGTTACAAAAAACAAAGTATAGATAGCACAATTGCTATGAAACTAGATAAATTTGTTACTATGGGAATAGAAAAATGCAGTGAAGATAAGTGTCTATTAGTTGCTTCAAAACGCAAAGTATGGGTACAAAAGGAATTTATATGGGGAATAGAATAAACTATCTTGCTTATTTGTATCATAAAAGGGAACGATGATTTTAGCCGCAAAAATGCTTTTAACTTCTTCTTTCGTCTTTGGTTTTGCCCTTCTTCCTTACTTCATCAGCTTTTTTAAGCAAGCAAGCAAGGATGGACAGCCAATTAGATCATACGGGCCTGAAAGGCATATTATGACAAAAAAGAACACACCAACCATGGGTGGAATAGTAATATTATTTTCTGCTTTATTGCCGATCCTACTTTTGGTGCAGTTAACACCAAAAATTTTGTTACTGATATTCATAACTTTATCTTTTGCTTTACTTGGTTTTTTTGATGATTATCTAAAATTAAAAGCAAAGAGCCATCAAGGTTTAAGCGCGAAAACAAAAATCCTTATTCAATTTTTTGTTGCGGTAATTGGTATGCTGGTACTTAAGATGTACTCCACTGATGACTTTACAAAGATATATGTATTTAAGGAAACAATTATTGATATTAGTTATATGTATATTCCATTTGCTGCGTTTGTAATAGTAGGTACTTCTAATGCTGTAAATCTAACAGATGGATTGGATGGTCTTGCTGCAACACAGGCAATAACTTCTTTTGCTTCTTTGGGATTAGTTGCATACTTAATGCAAGAAGATAGTAGCGTTATCTTATTCTGCATTGCTTTCATAGGAGCAATTTTAAGTTTTCTGTGGTTTAACTCGCATCCAGCAAGAATATTTATGGGAGATGTTGGGAGTCTAGGAATAGGTGCGGCTTTAGGTTTAGTTAGTGTTTTAATAAAAAGAGAAATACTTTTTGCAGTGATCGGGGGAATTTTTGCCATAGAGACTCTATCTGTAATTATTCAGGTATCATACTTTAAATGCACA